GTAAACTTTTAGTGCATTCCCACATCTTCTACAAAATTAAATATAAATTAAAGCTTCCAAGGCAGAGCCCTCTTTTTTTTTTAAAGGCCACTGATGGCAAACACTTCGTTTAACGATGAAGACAGTGACTAGTCTGCATCTTTCCAGGAACAGCCATAAATCAGACCTACTTTGGGGGCAGTAAAGGCACATATACTTTTGCATTCATAGTTTAATCTATTCATACTTAAATCTAGAATGAGAGAGTAGGGTCTATTCTCTGCATTTGTGCATTTTCTCCAAGAACCTAAGCAAATTTCATAAGGATTGATGCAGTATATTGTGTTACAGAAATAAATAAATAAATAAATAAACAAGCCCCAAACCCTAAAACATTTCCCATGCTCATTTTCCTAAATTACTGTGCTAAAGCATCTATTAACTTTCACCTGCTCATTCAGTCTCTGTGAGAGAATAGTAGTACATTATTATTTCTTGAAAACACAATTAATGTTCATTCCAGTGTACTAATGGACCTTAATCAAATGTGTGAAGCTTTGTATCCAACACTCAAACAATGAAACTGTACCTATCTGACTAGGGAATAAAGGATCTATTATACTGGTACTTCTATTTGAATAAAGGTTATGCCAGAAACTTTAGAGACTCCAATGGTTGTTAGTCTATTTAGAAGCTATTTAAAATCTAATAATCAGCAGCCCATAACATCCAAGATGTATAAATTCATACAGAAATGTAATTGAATGAAGAAAGAAATTATGCTCCAGTTCAGAGTCTAGGACGCTTTTTAAAGCATATTCCTTGTGAGAGTCTGTTGATGGAGTGAATACAATGGAGCTGAACAGAAAAGAATGAGGAAAAACTGTTTTCCCCCTCCTTGCTAATGCCTCTCATGGGAAGGCTCTTTTCTAGTCTGGTACATTTAACAACCAGTTGGGAGTGCTGAGTAGGAGTGGAGGTGGAACCTCTTTGGGGTTGCTTATGCCAAAGATCTGTACCTGATGCCTGTCACTGTGCCAGAAAGACATCTCCATAGCAGAGCTCCTAGATTTCTAGGAGTGACTCCAATGGATGCATTTCCTCTTTGATATATAGCTGCAATACTTAAGTATTTCTGTGGAAGGAAGGGCGTAAATTTGCACTGAATTCTTACATTAAAACGTTACTTACATTAATGAAGTCTTGGGGAAGAGGGTGAATAGAAAGGCTATGACTATCTCACCTGGGAGAAATAATTTTGAAGTTGATATTTTTAGTGATTAAGCAATTCTCTGAGGTTTTGATCCTTCAAAGAGGAATGAACATAAACTTTAAATCTGCGACTTGTCACATTGAAGAAAGTTCTGTGGCTGCAAGTGACATTACTTTTATGTTAACAATGATCATAGCTAAAGTTAGACTGCGATCATTTTTCAGCTTGGATGTGCAGATCTCTTCTTTTCTCATAAAAAGCCTAGATTTGCGATATATTTGAGATGACAGAGCTAAGCCAGTTGTCTGAGGCTGTTGTACACTAAAATTGTTTTTCACTCTTGACAGTTGGTTAACACAGCAAGTTCTGCAGCCAGCTGACCAGCTGAAGGTTGAGAGAAATGCCATGTTTAAAGTGCTTCTTTTTACTTGTCTTTGTGCAATGTGAAGAAAAAAAAAATTTTGCCCCAATCCCAAGGTCCCATCAGTTATATTTGCACATCTGCACTTAAAGAAAATAAAATATCCCTGGTAAATGACTTGTTTTCAGAATGAAGAGAGGAGATTGCACAAGAGAAACTGTTAAATTGCAGAGATCTCTCTGGAGCATGAGAGGTTGGGACTGGAGCACAAAATGGCATTTAAGAGCCACACTGTACTAATGGCTCAGCTCAGAGATAGTGCTCCTATCCTTTTTATTCACTCAACTGAATTTATCACTATGACCCATAAAACAGTTATCAGCACCTACAGGGCAAAGACACCCTGGATTCAGCTGGTACTTACCCCAGTTGCATGCTTAAGCCAAGGTCTGTAAAGGTGTGTCTCCTCTCTTGCCACTCATAGGGAAGCTGCTGGGGCTTAGCTGCTGTGCTGCATCATGAAGACTGTGCAGTCAAGAAGGACATTATGGGATCATGCCCTTATTTTTCAGCATTTTGGACACATCTCTGCAGGGAAGAGTAAAAGGCTGTATTTCACAGCTATGATATCATTCTTGTAAGCTATATTTCAGCATGAGCCACTATAAAACCTTTCCCATGACATCAGAGCTGTGAAATATAGCTGACTTCAAGTGCAGAAAATTCCCCTCCAGGAATAATTGTTTCCTGGCAATTGGCATTTGAAGGACTGATCTTTTAAAAGGCTGGCACAAATCCTGTCTAGGTAATGCTGCTCCAGGCAGCACTTCTCAGGAAATATTATGTGCAGGTATGGAGCCCCACCATGGGATTTGACCGTAGGGGTAATGGAACGAGCACGGGGGGAGTCTGTCAGGTGATGGTTTTCACTCCTTATGCCTCAGCAGTCCATGCAGACTTCATTAATAGCAAAATAATAGGTTTGCTCATGTGTTGTGCTCCCTACCTCAGACTCTGCCTCCCCACAAAGGCAAGTCACATGTGCAGTGCCAGAGCTACCGTCTAATCCGTCTTTTCACATCTGCCCTCCAACACAGGTCATCCTGATGATACATGTGTGCTGATACATGGCAGCTCACCAGATCTGCCACTGCTCAGGGCACTACTTAACTCACCTGGGTAGGCCCCAACCTCCTTGCAAAGCAACCTGTCAAGAAAATGGAAACAAAAAACACTGTGTGAGGCACATTTTCTTCTTTCATATCACATGAAGGAATATGTCCATCAGAATACAGTCCACTCAGAGCCAAGGTTTGAGTGGATGTTGGCACAGTTGTAAAAGACAAGATCCTGTGCAGGTCAGAGGGGTACAGGAGGACAATAAGAGAGACTATAGACAAAGAAAGAGTCAAGGCCACCTCAGCTCTCCCTAGCCTGGTGCTTGAATCCGCTGCCCGTGTCCCCCTCCAGCGACCTGCACGCTAATTTGGCACTGCTCCATCAACTGCACTGAAGGCAATTGTTGAACACATTGTAAAGCTTAGTCATGCTGGCTTTTTCTGTTCATCCTCTGGGAAGGTCTTGTACTGGTCAGCAGCTCTGTTCCTGCTGTTCTGTGCGTACATGTTTACGTGTATATGTGTGTACACCCATGTGTCTGTGACTCTCTCACAACACTCGAAGCTGTATGTGGACACACCTCCCATGACCTGCAGGACAGAGTTGTTTTTACCCACAGAAAGATCACTGGCTCACAAGATCTAACTAGAAACCTTCCCTTTTCTCTGGAGGAAAGTACACTGCTTCAGAATTAATTGTGCCTTTTCCATTTTCCTCTTAATGCTGAAAAACTTATTCCTTCTCACCCAGAAGTTACTTCTTAACCTCTTTTACCTTGTGAACCAGTAAAGCAATATTGTTTGAACAGTCCTGTTCCATTACGTACTATTCATATAAAAGATAAGTGGTATTTCCTTATAGAAAATTATTTACTAACATGAACTGTAAGAGACTTGAGGTTATTTCATACAATTTATTACTAACAACAACAACAACCAGAAGAGCAGCTAACTGGAGGCACTGCAGGCATTTTAATTCTGTCAGTGTAGCTCAAAGGCTAAATTCTGTCTAATATACACCTTTAAAAAAACCAAACATATAGGGGCGAAAATGGTCTTTGATATAATGTATGATCCAAGTAGTGTTGCATTAAATGCTTACAAAATCAAACAAAAATTTTCTTTGCAATTTGGTGTAGTCAGATTATCATTCCACAATCTTTATTTACTACAACTGAGAGATGCTGTACTGAATTTTGAGCTAGTTTTAGTATGATTTATTGGGTTTTGATCAGAAAACTGAAAAAAAACCAAAACCTCTTCAAAGAGCATCAGTGAGAAAAGAAACGAAAATAATCAAATGCTCCTTCTCTCTCAGAGCATGGATCTGTTTGGACTAAAAATTTATCAGCATGTTTATGGAAAAAAAAATTATGTTGTGGAATGTTTCTGTCAGCTAATTCTGATTTCTTCACATTATAAAATGTTCCACAGCTGTTAGTTAGGCATTTTGCATGACTGGTTACTGAGACACATAGCATAAGTTCTTCCTCCTGAATAGAAGGTTCCACTTTTTTTAAAAAATAGAAGAACCATCCATGCTATACTAGGGTACTGTATGTATAGCTTTTTGCATGTTGAAAATTATGAGGTCTTCAGAGATAATTTTGTGATTATTTTGTAGGTGCACAGGTATTTGCTACTAATAATAGGAAGCATTAGCTAGTAAAAACCCATAGGTAGCAATGATCAGTTGGGGGCATTTTGTATTTTTAGAAGTTATTACTGAAAACATTTACATATATAAATGTGTATTTAAAGATCCAAAACTCGGTGCAATACTCGGGCAGTAGATAATGAGAAAAGCAGTGTCCACCTCCTATGCAGTAACAAACAGGTCTAGTATGTGTGAGATATTGATAAATATGACATTTATTTCACCAACCTGTTTAGCTGGCCCTTTTTAAATTCGGTCAAAGGCAAAACACCTTAAATGTGAGGGAAAAATCCTTGAGTTATCCAAGTCCAGTTTCTTCAGCCCATAACTATAGCAACATAATGCCTCCTGGGAAAACAGTGTGCACTTTTGCTAGCACTTCTTTGATGTAATAAGGTAACCTGATCCCAAAGCTCAGGCAGTAAAAAGAGAAATGCCTGATTTGCCTTTGTTGACAAAGGGAAGCAAAAGGAGGGCATGCCCCCCCCCCATCCAAATATCATGACTCCTTCCTCCGACTCAGTATGGAGTTGCTCAGATTATTTGAAGGACCATTTGCAATATTTTGAATCAGAAACAGCCCAGCTTTTCAGCAATCATTATTACTCATCTATTTGCAGTCATGACAGTTAAGTACCTTTGGAAATGCTAAAAAAGTTCTTATTTTTCTTTTCAGAGCTCCTTTGAGACTGCAAAGACTGTTTAAAGAAGGAAGACGGCATGAGATTGGATTCAGTGCAGTAAAGTAGGTTAGTTTGAGGACAAAACAAAAAGTCATTATTTAGACCTTCTTGTGTTACCATGATGAGAACTTACCATTGCTTCTGGCTGCTGTTTTGGGCTAGTCAGCCCCACCAAAGCTTGTTAACTCCGTTATCCAAAAGGACTAGTGGCTTTCCAGAAAAGGAAAAGGTTTTGGTATTGTCTGGAAACAGCAGGCAAGACCTCCATCGTTCCAAAAGGAGCTGGATGTGGAATCAGTTCTTTTTATTGGAGGAATACACAGGAACGGACTACCAATACGTTGGCAAGGTAAGCTTCTTTCATACGCATCTAAGTTTTGATTGTAGAAATGCTGGAAAGCCAGCAATAAAAAATAGGTAAGAGCAAAGCCTGCTACAACTTCTGGTTCTCTTTGCTGTGCCCAGCTTGTGCTGGTTACCTTTCAACAGAAAGGTTAGTATGCTTCAGCTTCATATTATAATCAACAAGAAGACATTTCTCATTTAACCAGGAAGTCCCATGGCAAATCATGCACAATTCTATTAAAGATTTTCCTTTTTATTTTTTTGTCTTGAAATAGTGCACCTTAATTATAGGCCAGATTTTTAGCTTTAAAATGTAATATATATTTTCCCTTATGCTCAGTAATTTTGCTAGAGTCAAACTATATAAACGAGAAGAGGTTTTGGTCTAAGTTAGGATTCACAATACCTACATTTTTGGTGAGGATTCTCTCTACCCATCAAAGGCAATTTGTTTCTCCTTTTATTCCCCACTCCACACAACTGCTGCAGACATTTTCTGATGAGGTTTCGTGGTTTCACTAAGGACTCTGTGACATGACCTTCATACCACAAGCCATGCTATTACAAGCCACAGTTGAGGCATACTGTGTGTAAACACTATGAAGCAACAGGCAGCTGAAAATTTCTAACCTCAAAGCATGGTGATAGAAAAGGGTGTGTAAAACATTATTTAAAAAAGAAAAATCATAGCTTAACTCTGAGAATGTCCACCTCCCTGAGCAGCAGACCCTGTTTAGGTCTTTATGTGAGCTTCAGAGCTAGTACACCTGTGGTAAGAGCCTAGAGAGAGTCTATACTGCCAAAGGTGCCATACTCTATAGGAGTCTGTCTTGCAGAGTGTAGAAATTACGCTATTGATGATGACATTCAAAGCAGAAACAATACAGCTTGGTTTTCCAAACTAAAATGGGGGTGTGTCTGATCTAGTTTGATCTCTCAAGCCTCTTAGCGAAGGCTGCAGATCACAGTGGTTTGACATTTTATCTCCCTCTGCAAGCTTCTGAGCATTCCCATGAGAGATGGTGGCTGCTTTTCTTGCCTGCCAGTCAACTGTCAGTCAAAGTTGGATGCGACTCTCCTTTCCTCCTAAATGGCTGCAAGGCATGATTCAAATGAAGAGCTACTCAGCTGGTGTAATACTCATAGAGCTCCAACCAGGATAATCAGCATTCATGAAGGGTACCATTGAGCCCAATCTACAGGAAAAGGCCAAAGGCAGAGAGTCCTCAGAGAGGAGAAGTAGAGAAGGAAGATAAGAGGATAAGAAAAAAAACCGGAAGAGAGTGAGAGGAAAGAACTAGAAGTACAGAGGTGGAAACAATGGAGACTTTACAAAGAGGAATCAAGATGGAAAGGAGGGAAAAATGACATCAAATGGCAGGTAGAGCATAGGAGAAAAAGTTTACCCAAGGAGAGCAAAAACAAAAACAGAAGGTGAGACAGTGAAGGGGGGAAAAGAAAACAACAGGTAAGAAACTTTGAGTCAAGGGGAAAGAAAAACCAATGGAAAGACCGCAGTCCTCCACACTCTCCTGTTTCATAGTCTACTGAGGGGATTGTCAGGGTAATGAGGATCTTTTTCTCCAAAGATAAAGCAGATGGTCCTGGGCCAAGTCCTGAAGTCTGTCATTTTCACTGTGAATTCTGACATTAAACCTGCTCAGCCCCCATTCTCTCCACTGCAGAATTAGGGTAGAGCTATTGACTTCAGATGGACTGATGGGGGAAGGAATATTCCTGCAGGATGATTTTGCTGAGAGACAGTTTTAAAATGGTCTACTTGGACCAGAAAGCCAAGAAAGTTTGAACAGGAGACATAGAAAAAAATGTAGATCTTATTTTTTAAAAGTTGTTCTTCCACCTATTTGTACTTAAATACATTTACTGTTTCAAAGGATAGAAACAACACATAATGTATAAATGTCATTGATTCTGTGTTCCTTAGCTATTTGTATGTGGCCTTTCACACATCTTTCAAATGCCAGAACTGCTCACACCCTTTTAACTGAACAATTAGCCACAAGGCATGGAAAAGCAGCCATTTCTTTTTAAAGTTGGGTATTGGTGTGAGGATAAATAATAGAAACAGCTGAATTTCTCCAAATTGAGGTAACCAGGCAATTTAACTGAGCAATTAAACTTGATTGGTGTGGGCAAATGAGGATAATGAACGTTTTTATGAAGCTTTTTTTTTGTCTCAGAGGACTAAATGTTAACCTTAAATATGGACTTTAAAATAGTAGGAATATAAAGAAGAAATGTGAACATCAAGATATCTTAAAACAACAACAATATATGTATGTAAAGGGGACTTGTGTTTATGCCTTTGTGTGTAAGCAGTCCGACCTACATCTTCTGGGGTTTTTGTGTTTAGTGGTTAAAGATGGTGGGCATCAACATCATTAAAAAAAAATATTCCATATAAGCTGCAAAAAAAAAATCTTTTTCTTCGGCTGGTTTTACTGTTTTGCTTTTCATTTTTTTTTAAACATCGGTTTAATCCAAATATCTACATAAAAATTTGAGATTTAAGAAGTCTGTTGTGGAAGATTCTAACAAACAGCATTATTTCTTAGAACTGCCCAAATTACAGTTGTAAAATCCTGTAACTGGTTATACTACGAAAAACACATTTACATCATAGTAGTTTAAGAGAGAAGGGAAAGAGCAGTGAACGGGTTTGAGATAATGAAAAAGAAAGGTAATCTCTCTGAAGACAGAGCTCAAGGCAGTACTGAAGACAATGCTGAATCCAAGTCATGGACCAGGGCACTATTGTGCTCCATACCTGGTATACTCTTTTATCCATTGAACCCAAAGCTTTCCATCCTTTAGGAGTTAATTGCCCAAGCACATGTGAACCAAACTAGCCCTCCTTTTGGTACCCATGGGTACTGTCAGCTGTTAAAAAGTTCTCCTCCATTTTTTATGCTACACACTTTACTGTCAGCCCAAGTATGCAGCTATATCACACTGGACAAGGATATGTGGCTGCCAACAAGAAGCTCGCAGTGTTATAAATACAAGTTGATTGTATGCTGTAGCTCTGACACCAGATCCATTGCTTTATTATCCATTCTTGTACTGCTGAATTTCATTCCCATATATTTGTGAAATAAACACTGCGAAAAAGAGTCAAAATTCATGCCTCCAGTCACTGTAGCCTCAGACATAATAATGAGGAACTTGAAGAAAAGTTTTAGACTGGAATTATTCATTGCACTGCTGAAT